GAAATAAAAGTTACACATGCAGTAATTCAACTCTAATTTATTTTCCAATTAAACATATACAATTTCAGAATCCAGAGTTTACCTGGTTATACAATTTAAATTATAGTGGTAGAATTCGAACGGTTTTAATATCGCAAGTGAAAAATATTAGATTTTTTATGTCTATCGTTGCAGTTGATACTGTGCTGGAAACTTTATCATTGTAACGGATTGTAAGGTAGAACTTCATATTGTTCATAATTTTCTTGTTATCTCTAATACTATTTAGAAAAGTAACTACCGTTAGTTGCTTTTATTAAAAGTTTACAAGTTTATTATTACTTTAAGTAATATTATTAAAATTTACTAAACATCAGTCAATGTCGATACATCAACAGATAAACTAGCATGCTGGTCGCTGTAATAAAATATTTATGCAGCCATTAATACGGTTTATATTTAAAAAATAAACAATTTTACATTAAGGGGACATTTTGCTATTATATTGCACCACAGTGCATCAGCACTTTTTGTAATTTTAATTAATGTAAGTGCTAAATATTATCGTTTATTTCCACTAATACTTAGAAATATTTCACGTTAAATATAACTAAATAAATTCGAGATTAAATCTTAACCAAGATATTTTGATTTTTTATTTATACTTAGTTACATAATCTGTGTGTATCATAGAAATACAGAAAGAAAATTGAATTAAAAGGCACTCTAATTTTTCCCAATTACTCCAGAAAGAGAATATATTTAACACAATTGTTGCATACATTTTAAATACAATTTGTTGGTATCGTGTGACAGAAATTCTACTTGTATGTTCTATATAAATTACATAGTAACAGCTCTATAATTGTGTCAAATTTTAATATGATTTTTCTCGTGTATATGTCTACAAAATAATTAAATTCAGTTATAATAACTGATTTACTACCGAAACGTGCCACTGAAACGTGTAGCAATTTGTAACTTTTTATTTAAATGACAAATACCCTTCTTCCGCCACCATAAATACGTCACGAACGTCCTGACCCGTGCAATAGTGCCCTCTCGACACATTTCACGGCCAGTAAATTTTCCAAGTAAATAAATTGAAGTGTTCCTCATCCGCCGCTGGCAGTCCGAAATTGGATAAAAATATGGATATGCTGATAGAGCGCGTTGTTAGCAAATAAAGTGGTGAATTTTACTCTTGATAGAAATAATACCTGTATTGGGTAATAATAATTTACGTACATCTACACTAAATTAGTAAATCTGTTTTCTGCAGTAGGTACCACTACAACCACTAGATCTACCTATACATATGCGTAAATAAATAAGAGGATTGGATTCGATAGAGCGGACAGAGCATGCATTCACTGAGGCCATCTCGTGTTAGTGTGGTAAAACATTGTCCTTTATAGAAATTGTTAAATAGAAATCTGCAACCACAGAACGAATTTGTATTTTCAATTTTTCAATCAATAGAAATAGAAACTTAAGTTTTTTTTCAGAATTACAATAGACAGACAATTACTGTGAATAGAATCAGTTCGAAAATTATGTAAACCAGACTTTACTCTGACAAACACAGATCATTATTTTTGTGAAGGCCATTTTGAATTGAGTAATAATATCACCTCCGATAGTACTCAGTATTCAGCAAATCAGTTTGTTAAAGTAACATTACAGAATTTTCAGGATACGAGCTGCCAAACTTCAATTCCAGATTATTTTTCACCTCGACCTTTTAAAAAATCGAAATACACATTTTGAAAATAGTCATTTGCTGTAAATGCTATAAGCGTACTACGCGTACTTCAATTCTCGCATTCAAAAGGAATCAGAAGTACCTACATCGTACATAAATATTTCCGAATTCATAACAGATTGAATTTATATAGATATTTGTCACACATTTAAAAATCACTGCTTTAACTTTTTCTTTTAACCAAGTGATAAAGTGTTTCATAAGTAATGGGTCATCATGAAACATTATGGTGCAGCGACGTCTATTAGACGCCTCTGTATACATATGACCCTCAGTCAAAGTTATACCCTATTGCTCTGTTGTATTATATATAACGAGCGTTCAAATAAAAACGTGGTCAAGTTGGTTGTGAAAATTTGGACGTAGGGCGTAGCGTATAGCAAATGAACTTCATCTGTCAAAGCGCTATATCGCCGCTATCAATTTGAATATTTTCGTTTTAAAAAGCGTTTAAAATGGCGTTTTCTCAAGATCAAGAACAAAAAGTGTTTATCATAGAGTCCTACTTTAGAAATGGACGCAAGATTGATGGAATATGGAAGTATTCTATTGAGGAATGTTTCATAGAATTTCAAAATCAATTTCCCGGCGTTGTTGAGTACAAAATTTTTCAAAGTGCAGTTCAGCGTTGTGTTAATGTTTTTCGTGAAACGGGCAGTGTAACAAGAAAAGAAGGAAGCGGCCGACCTAAAAAGCGGACTGAAGAATTAAAAGAAAATGTCCAACAAATAATGGAAAATGCGCCAAGAACTTCTGTACGTGTTTTATCA